TTTTAGGTTAAAAAGTGAATGGCAATTTGCCTTTTTATCAATTAAAACCTTTTGAATTTCTTTATTTTTTTTAATTCTGGTCAAACGACATTTGTCCAAAATCATTCTCTTACCCGGCTGTTTGGCCAAATTTCCCAATTGTTTTTAGAGCAAAGGCGGGTTTTGAGGTAACCCTGGCTTGTCTAATTACTTTCCGGGCGCTCGAAGCCCGCCCGTTATATGAACTGAGTCAGACTCGAGCTCGTTGAGCTCGTGAAAGTTGTGATTAGTCTATTTTTTATTGTTATTTGTTTGTACGTCAAAAGAAATAATAAAAAAGAGAAACAACCATTAAGCCTCTCTTTGATGAGAATTAAAATTAGATTTTTAATAAATTTTGATAAAAATTGATGAAATATATAATTGAAAGTTGTGACTTTCATAAAATGTATGATTAAAATAATTTTTTGATTTTAATTTTTGACGGGGCTAAAAGATGTCAACAAGCCAAGTCGAGCGAAGCTCGGGCTCGACTCGAGTAAAAATGGTTCGAATTTTTTTTGGTCTGAGCCGACCCGAACTTTTGTTCAACCAAAAAATTTAGGCTCGACCCGATCTTTCGACTCGAATCGTATCGAGCCGAGCCAGTTTACAATTGTTTTCACTTACAAGCAGCGTTGCCTGCTATCAAGCAACTGCAAAGGCAGCGACATACTACGTGCAGTTGCCTAGTTTTTAATTTTTTTTAGACTCAGTTCGTCCCGAGTCGAAAATAGCATGTGACACGAACAGACCCATGTGGTTCTGGCCAACACACCAAAATTCGATCCAGCTCTGGCTTTTCCCTACCGAGCCACGGGTCGCCAGCCCGCGAGCCAAATTGACATGCCTAATTTTGAGGTAACCTTGACTTGTCCAATTACCTTCCATGTGCTCGAAGTCCACCCGTTATATGAACCAAGTCAGCCCCGAGCTCGTTGAGCTCTAGAAAGTTGTGATTTTTTATTGTTATTCTTTTGCACGTCAAAAGAAACAATAAAAGAGAGAAACAACCATTAAACTCCTGTTAGGGAAGGATTAAAATCCGATTTTTAGTAGATTTTGACAAGAATTGATTAAATGTGTGGTTGAAAAGTTGTGAATTCCATAAAATATATGATTAAAATTAATTATTAATTTTAATTTTCAACAAACGGGGGCTAAAAGTCATTGTAAAGGAGATCCCTTCCAAATCCATCAAACGAAAAAAACCAATTTATCCGATATTTTTTCAAGATTAATAGTGTTTAGCACCACTAGTATTAAAACACTAATTTCTTGTAGTTTGAGCCTCTTTTAGCAAAAATATTACCTTTGTCGAATATATCTCAAGCAGTGTATTTCTCCAACCTTTGTACAAATGAGTGATAGGCCTCCGAAAATAGCTCACGCTATTAGGCTCGCAATATGTCATATGCTTCCCATGAAACCTGACATTCATTTTCTTTGCTCGTCCCTGACATGACCTCCAATTTCTGATGAAATTGGATTTCCTTTCGAGCATCTATCTGTATTGAGTTTGATTTTACACGTGGAAGTAAAAATTCAGTTGATTAGTTTGCTTTTCTTTGGGGATTGAATACATGTACCGTCGATTGATAAATCATGATGAATGTCATCAACCAACTTTGAAATATTTTCGCATGATTGTGAGGATTGAGGAGATTGTCTTTCAAAACTTTCTGTATTTTTTTTCTCACTTAATCCACGTAATGCAAGGATTCGTGAAATTGAAAACCAGTAAATCTATGAGATTCCCTCGATAGTTGAAATCTCCAAATACATCTAACATCCTCAATATCACTTCTAGTAATAAAACTTTCAATTTTATTAATCCCCTTGGGATATCAACAAAATATGTAACTTAGTTAGGTATGCTTTTACGTCATCTATTATTTTACTCAGTAAACCATTATTTTTCAAAACTTGAAAAATATTATTGTACATGGAGTCCAACGAAATGACGAAAAATGATCAAGTCAAGAAAATGACTAAAATACCCTTATCAACCTGCAATAAATAGACATTGTACAACTAAAATGGGATCTTTTGAACTTTTGGAGAAAAGAAATTGATCTCTACAAAAGAAAAAAAATCTGTCTTCCACTCAAATACAAAAAAAATAAAAGGGATTCGAAAATACTAAAAACTTCAAGAGGAAAAATCCCTTGAGAAATTGAGAGAGAAATATGCTTTTGGCTTTGAAAGTACTATCCATTTAGTTTTATTTTTTTGTACATGAGAAGAAACAACAAAATAGGGAAACAACTGTCCCTGTTTGGTAGAGGTTATAATCAGATTGTTAGTAAATTTTGATAAAAGTTGATGAAATGTGTGGTTGAAAAGTTGTGGATCTTATAAAATATGTGGTTGAAATTAATTGTTAACTTTAACTTGTAATTTTAATTCAAACCAAGCATGGACTATGTACAAGCCTTAGGGCAACTCATGTCAAATCAGACAAAAGAAGAGAACTAATAAAAGAATGTGGATTTTTAGAATAAACAAGAATTTTGTCCCGTATCTCTCAAAGTTTGCAAGGTGGTCTGCACATCTATTCTATTGTCTTAAAAAGTGTGCAAAATCTTAATATTGAACAATGAAAGTAGGAATCAACAATCCTCAAGTAGAGCTCTTTCGAAATTTTGTGTAATCTGAGCTTCTTTTAACATAAATATTACCTCATTTGAACGTGTGTTAAGCGCTACATTTCTCCAGCATTTGTCCCGAAATAGCCCATTATTCCATAATTAGGCTTGTAGTTATGTCCTATATATATGCCAGAGCTGTTCTCCTGCTCACGGTGGGAAGTCTTATAATGCCCATTAGAAGAGAACCCAACGTTGGGTTCTCCTGCCACATCAACAAGTGGACAGTCTTATTCTGCCCACCGTGGACAGGAGAACATTTCCAATATATATGCTCCCCATAAAACCTAACATCCATTTTCCTTGGTCATCCCTAATAAGACCTTCGATTCCTACAGCTATATTTCCTTTGGAGCATCCAGCGTATTAAGCCCCTGTTTGAATCACATTAAAATTTTCATTTTCATTATTCTACTCATTTTCAACCACACATTCTTCAATAAAATAATATTTTCCATCACATCAATAATTTTTCCTTATTTTTCAACCACACGTTCTCC